TAACACTACATGGAATACTGCCTATGGATTTAGCATAACTCTGCAAGAGGTTTTGGCTCTGAAGTATTTTACTGTCGGTCAGAGCTGCATGAAAATATTCATATCAGATATAAACCCAGAGCAAACAAAGTGTGCCGAATGCAAGCTTGAGACTAAAAATTGGCAATGGGTTTAAACATTACTTCTGCTTTGTATTTTTTCTGCATATCAGAGTATACTGCTGTTTGAAATAAGATAAGCTTTGCTCTGCATGCTGAGTTAAGGAAGCATGTACAGTATATGCCAATCTACTTTGAGCTTCAAGTGCTCTGCATGTGGTGCAATAACTATATGTAATGGTAAAATACAACATGAAAATAGAGTTCACTGGTCAGCAATTCTGAGATCTGAACTATGTACTAAACAAGTGACTACTACAAAAAATCATTAATGAAGTCCCACCCAAAAATCTTAGTTAAGATAGAATTAAGGTTGCATATATATGTTAAGTTATCTATAATGTTCTTGGAAGGCAAATAAAAAAAGAAAGAATTAGAAACTCTGAAACTTAAGATTTTATCCCCACCACCCAATATTTGGAAGTATGGAAGGTTGTAGTTACATCTGCCCTCCATTGATCCTTGCCTCCCATTGTCCAGATTTAGTCCTTTGCAAAATGTGCTAAATCTGGACTTTTTCTAAAGCTTAAGGAATCAACAGACTACAATTCAGGACACGTTCAATTTGGTAAGATGACGTTCTTATGCAGCTTGTAAGCGGAACACCAAAAATGTGCCTCGGATAGTTTTTATCAATGGTTTTATGCATCTGTTGTTGAGACCCAAATTCTGTGTCAATTGATACTTAGACAACTGACTGCCCTGCATAGCTCATAGGACTTATTCCTTAAGGAATAGTGGGGGACAACTACCTTCAGCATTCTATCAGTCCAAGCAACAATTTGATATACTGACAACGAAGAAAGCCATAGTTGACAAAACCACAGTACGTTTGAAAGTAAATTGTTCTTGTCTTGGTGGACTTTCTCCAATATGTCCTAAAGTGTGGCACCCAAAAACTAACCACAGTTTTGACACCCCTTGTGCCACATAGAAAGGAACAATTATCTCCCATCTCTTAAATATGACATTCCTGTTATAACATACCCTAGCATATTTGCCTCTTTTGCAATTGCATCATGTTTTTGGCCCATACTCTATTTGTGATACATTATAAACCCTAAAACCTTCAATGGCATATTGCTGCTTTGCCAGTTATTCCCCATTTTGCACTTGTGTATTTGATTTTTTTATTCCTAAGTACAGTACTTACAGACCAGTTCCCTAATTTGTCATAGTTATTCTGAGTTCTAATCTTGTACTATAGGATGCTTGCAACCCCATTCCCTCTCTGGCCTGGCACCATCTGCAAATTCCATAAGCACACTTCATTTCATTATTCAAGGCATTCATAAAAATATTAAATACAGGCAGTCCCCGGGATACATGGATCCGACTTACATCAGATCCTTACTTACAAACGGGGTGAGGCAACCCTGCACTAGCTGCTTCCCCCCAGCAGACCAGGGAGACGCGAAGTTAGCGCCCCCCTCCAGCAGACCAGGGAGACGCAGAGTGGCTTTTCTCAGCAGACACCTCAGCTTGAGAATAAAAGACTGAGGGAAGTGAGGTGTGGGAGAATAAAACTGAGCTCTGGAGAAATGTTTGGCTAGAGTTTCCCCTACAATATGTACCAGTTCCGACTTACATACAGATTCAACTTAAGAACAAACCTACAGTCCCTATCTTGTACGTAACCCGGGGACTGCCTGTAGTACTGGAACCAGGACAGACCCCTGTGGAACTCCACACATGTGATTTCCAGTTTGACAGCAAACTGAGTTCATTAGTTTGTAGTTCCCTCAATCCCATTTGTTCTCCTTTTAAAAGATAATTAATACATTTGCCCATCTCGAGCCTTTGGGGACCTTGCACGTGCTTCCAGGAAGTTTTGAACAATATGACTTGCAAAGCAAATATGGTAGATGGGGGATAGGGATGGTGATGCTTGTGAGGCATCTCAGGGAGACCATTAAGGCTGTGAAAGGCGAGGTTTCCCACCAAGTCTACTAAATTTCCTTGATTGTGAGCAGTTCCTTGTCAAACAGGTCTTCAGAAGGCGTGGAATGTCCTCTCTCCATGCTCCCTTCCCAACACACTCTTGCTGTCCAGCCAAAAACACTGGTTTGCTGATATTCCCCCTGAATACCACCATCACTTTTTCTGTAAACTTCTAAAGCAAGTGAACATCTTAACAGATTAGCAGGGACGAGATTCTGAGTCTAAGAGGGAACTCAGGGGAGTACAGCAAGGAGACATGCTCCCCCACCCCCATCATTCCTTGTCAACTGGATAAATCCAATAAACATTTCTATAAACATTGTATTCCATTCTGTTCTCTAGCTCTGGACAATTGTTTCCACTTAACTGATTAATTTTCATTTAGATGCCAAAATTCTCCTCTCTCCTTTGACCAAACTGTTTATTCCCCATCTCACCTGGCGTCTCCCGTGAACAGTCCACATTTGGAGATCTGTCTCAATGGAAAAGGGCTAAAAGATTTACTTTTTAACATTTAAAGCTTAGGTCTCCGGCATTTGTTTGATGCCCTGTTTTAAAACAATGGGTGCAGACATGCCTCTCACACACTACAATTTAAAATATTAAAAATCTTTTAAAATTACAGTTTAATCAGCTAATTTTGGTTGTGGACACTAGAATCCAACTAGCTGAGTGCAATAAACTAAGTTTTAACTCTTCCGTTCATTTGGATTTTTGCTACAAAGTGGGGAAAAGAACTCAGGTGAACAGCTCTGTTTTAACTGTGCCAAAATTCAGGAAACCTTTGCTTCAGATTTGATAGAAAAATTATACCCAAATCCTACAACTAACCCACCAAGTCTGCTGATGATATTAATTTGTTTGTAGATTTTACAGGAGAGGGCTGAATAGGACTTATAGGGGACACACAATTATAACTTTACCTATGGACATTAGTGGCACTGGGACAAGTCATTAAGATAAATTGCAGAGTGCCTGAAAGATTAATTTTAAAGGGAACAGATGACATTTTTGTAAATCCCAAGTATATGTGAAGTGATGGACACCATACTATTCTTCTCAGTGCACACTTATCTTTTAGCCCAATAGTAATACTCATATTCTTCAGTCAACTCCTGTCAGTGACCACTCAGACTCTGTCAATGTAGAAGCTGGAAGCATTGAAAAACAGCTTAATGTAGTACAGTAAAACTCCAATAGTCCGACATCCAATAGTCCGGCACTCCTGATAGTCCGGCATCAAAATGGCAAGAGCCTACTGAGTGAGCTTCAGCAATAAATGAATCACAAGGTAACAGCGGCAGCAGCTGAACTGAGCAAAAAGGGTAAAAAAGGCTTAAAAAAACTAAAACATTACAGTATACTGTATACAGTATGTACAATAAAAAGGGTTAAGAACACTTTATATACAGTATATAATGTATACAGTATATATAACCAGTTTATAGTATCTCCAGATAGTCCGGCATATCTGATAATCAGGCACCACCTAGGTCCCATAGGTTCCGGATTATCGGAAGTCTAGCGTATATTGTGCTGCATCTGAAATGAGGTAAGACCATCCCATTATCTTCGACCAGAAATTCATTTATAGAAATCCCTATTTAGCAGGGCTGGCCTTATCATGAGGCGAAATGAGGCGGCCGCCTCAGGTGCCAGACTGTGGGGGGGACACCACTAGGACCCAGAGTGTAGAAAATGGTGTGTGCTGCTGGTGCATATGTAGTTCTCCTTTATTGGGGTAAGTAGCAGAGCAGTACCATGAGATAAGTAGAACAGGAATGTGGCAGAATTGAGACATTTCAAAGTTTTGGCCCAAGCGAGGGAGCATGGAGACGTTATTTGAGCTCCCCACCTCAGGTGCCAAAATGTTGTGGGCCAGCCCTGCTTTTTAGTCCTAGACAAACTACTAGGAGATAGGTTAATACAGCCTTCAGGTTAATACAGCCTTTGTGATCTCTTATAAGGGTCCTGGCTTTGCATATTTTGAAAACTTGTGCATTTCTATTCTTGCAAGCAGGAGACCAGTCAATACTGAGATATAATAATTATTTAAAGGGAATAGTATATGGAATCAGTTATGTTATGTCCTTCCAATATTTCTCATAAACAGATGCATATGCAATGGGACAATACGCAGAAAAAATTAGAATGTCTAGCAGCTGCCTTTGTTTGCAAGCCACTCTTATGTAATAATCAGAAGGCAATCATATCAGCAACCTTACTTCCCTAATGAGCACATCACATTACTTTTTTCTTTAAGATCAGAAAGTTAATTAAAGACAAATAAAACAAATTTTCAATCGGATGCACCAGACATTTGAAATACATTACTAGCAAGTGTATTATAAATCATTTGATAGTTTGTATTAAAATCACTGACAAGCAACTGTTTTTAATCTACATACTTACAGTTAGTGTTTTTCTAATTTATGATATTGAATATCAAACACTCTGGCCAGTTTGTAAGTAAAATCTTGCATCAAAAGGAACTTTGCTTAGTTATATTAGACAAACCATTAAAGAGAAGGCAGAAGACCTCCATAAGACTCTGTTTCCCTTTGTACAGAAACATGTCTTGCACTCAAAAATTTGGCCCAACATTTATGTTCCAAAAATGAATTGCTGGTTGATTACTTGTAATCTGATTATTTGTGCCTCTAACTCGTCCATGTCAAGCAGTTCTTTAAGGGAACCTGGAATTCAACAGCATCTACAAAATGTGAATCTCATTTATATCATCCAATAGGAAACCGAAATTAGAAAAAAATAACCCATAATTTATCATTATGGCAATGAAGGAAAAAAATGCAAAAAAGAAAAACAGAAAAAAGAAACACTACTGAAAAAAAAAGTACACTAAAACACTGAAATTGTGTGTCTGTGATACTCTGTACTTACCTAATATCTGTGCATGTTATACATGTGATATGCCGGCTGTTTGTTGTAATGAGGTTCAGAGCCACAGATGTTTCACTGTCAGAAGTTGGGTGTGCTCCACATTTAAAATAAAACTCCTGAAATAGTGAAGGTGAGATAAAGAGAAGATTACATACCTGTAAGCCCATGTCTTCTTATCATCTTAGTCTCATTGACATTTGAGACAGTAGAAAAAAAATCACTACTGCCAGCAGTGAAGGGGGGAAGGGGGGCATTCGTTACAAATGATGTAAATTGAATTCCCTGAAAAAACTCTTTGCTAAGCATATATTCATTCTCTGCAACATACTCTCATAAAAGCCATCTCCCACACTGCATGAGTTCAGTATTAGTGGTACGTGGTATGATTTTCTGGATCCGTAGAGGAAAAGTATCACATAACACCACACAGGTCTGGGCATTATGATGCAGGATGCTATGCACTGTAACACGTTAATGCTCTCCCACAAATTTTCATCACAAAATTTACTGTCACATGAAAACTAAAGATACAATTTATAATCCCTGGCTCTAAATAAATGAAGTCTGGTTTTATTTCTGTGACAGTGGTGGCCTTTATAATATAGTATTACCAGTAGCTCTAACAGGAAGCTCCAGTTCCCTAAGAACACATTTTACATTAACCATTATATTTCAGTTAAGTTATTCTAGATTTACTCTATATAGCTTTTTATATCACCCTCATCAGCACAGTACTGGAGTGCCGTCCAGCAGTCCATTAAGCAACGTAACATCTACTGGGTTACATCTTTTTACCTTCTCCCAAAAAGGAAGATTGTGCTGAATGACGGTCTGAGGCTTTTCCCCTGGGCAGGGCACAATAGGCTTACCAGGGGTTTGCAAAGTGGGACATGGAGCTGCAGTCTGCTTGGTGGCCTGGCCAGTAAAAGCAGCAGCAGGCAAAGCACACAAGATGTCTGCAAGTAGTCAGGATGCAGGGGGAGACATTCTGACCACTGGTCCTGTCCTGGACATCCAGCTAGCCAGAGCCCTTCATATTTTAAACCCACTGGACACTAGGAAAACAAAAGGCTCTGGGCAGCAGAGAGGGGTGGAGAAGGAAACCTAGTCCACAACAAGCTGCCATGGGCTCCTCAGGGGATTGTGCCAGTTGGTCTTGTTACTGTGCCAGACGGAAGCCCCCCACACTGCTCAGTGAGTCATTTTCTGCTCCGGATGGATAGGAGTTACAAGGGAGCACTATTAGAATGCGACTCCCAGGGACAAGGGGAGGGCACATAACTAAAAAAACACCGAAATCTAGGAACCTTGAGTATAGAGGGATCCCTCACTGGATGGTCAGCCCCCTCATGGGTCCTGGCAGAGCAGCCTTTTTGTCCACTGTCCCCTGGGGGCTGCTCTTTGAGCCACCTAGTATTTGGTTCCTTTTGGCAACTCAGCCAGGATGCTCAGAGCCTCACTGCTTCCTAGGGTTGCCAGGTGTCCAGTTTTGAACCGTCAGTCCAGTATTTGAGCTTTCTTTCCAGGAAACAAACTGAGAAAATACCAAATATATAAATGTCTGGTATTATCCAATTAAATAAGTTTTATTACTATCATGAGTATCAGTACACAGTTGCGTACTGCCTGGCTGGTAGACAAACACGCACAGTGTGTGTGAGCATGTCTACCAGCCAGGCAGTTCGCAAGTACACAGTAGAGAGGAAGGGCGCAGTGCCTGAATGGAATTCCCAGGGCCGTACTCGCCAGTGCGCCTTGCTGAGACCGTGCGCGGGACAGGCAGCACCCCGGGATCTGCATGTGCATGTGCCAGCCCTACCCCCCCACTCTGCCCCCCAGCCAGCTCCACACCCCCTGACAAGCCCCGCTCCCTCCAACCCTGTCCCAGCCAACCCTGCTTCCCGTCAGCCGGTCCCCCTCCCCTTCCCCCAGCTAGCCCAGCTCCCCCGACCGCCTCCCAGCCAGCACCGCTCCCCTTCTGGCTAGTTCCCCCCCCTCCCAATCTGAGATCAAGTGTGTCCAGTATTTTTTTGAAACCATCTGGTAACCCTACTGCTTCCAGGGTAACTACACGGTCCAATCAAATACCCAAATGCTCAATACCCAAGTAGCAGGCCATCAGTCCCTGCCCCTTAACTTCTAGGGCTCACACAGCCCTCCTGTGAATGCCTGGTAGGGCATGCTCTCTGTTCTGAGCTCCAACCACAGACCCTCGTGATAAGCAGCAACAGTCTGTTTCTCATGATCACTCAGTGCTCCCCAACCTAGTTCCTACATTACCTGTTTGCACTCTCTGGTCTTGTCTGTGTAGCTTCCTATTACAGCTCTGCTCTCTCCATTCTCCTCCCTTGGCTCTGTAATCCTTCCTCTACCAGAACCACCTAGCCTGGTTCTCCCCAGCTGGGGCTAATTGTCAATTAGCCTCTCCCCTCCTGCTTCCACAGATTGGACTAATTGATCCCTGGGGCTCCCTGTTAATCCTATATTTGCTAGTGTGGCTTATGTGTCTGATGAGAGTAGTGCAGTGTTTTGTGTGATGAGGAGTTGTTTGGGTTTTAAATGTGGATACTGTGAGAAGTATATGGTAGAGAAGGCAGGTTGAAAAACTGCACTTTACATTTGAAGAGGAAGATGAGATTAGTGTCAAGCCTTACTTCCTGTGGGAGTTTGTTTCACAAGCCCTGAAAAAGCTCTTGCAGATAAACTTGAACCATATATTAGAAAGTTCCACAGGGCCTGAGAAGGAAAGCTGTTAACCAATCTTCATTTTGAAGCTTTCGGTGATCTTTTCTACATGCTGGCATGAAACCACTACATTGAAGATAAGGGCCACATCCTTGAATAAATGATTTTACTGCTGCTGGCTGTACAGGGCCTTCATACAGCATTATTTTTTGTATTTTTAATGTGTTGCTAATCTCAAACATTCAAAAGCATGAGATTTAAAATAAGGGGGTTTTTTTACTTCTGTTTTGTTAGTCTTCAGTGTTCATTTGGGGCATGTTTTCAAACCTTTCTGCATAGCCATAAGGAATAAAACAAATGTGTTTTAATGAAAGCTGAGATTTTCTTGTAATTACTTGGCTCCAGGACTTAGGGCTTTAAGTAAAACTTCAAATACCATGAGATTCCCAATACGCGTTCAAACTTTTAAATGAAAAAGAGATCATGATCCTGTTCTATGCACGAGAGGAAAAGATTTGTAAGACAATAAGTGACCAATTTTCATGCATGTTGTATATAACACTAGCACACAAAAATAGTCTTTGTTTGCATTAATATATAACATTTTAAAAGGTATTTTACATAAATTATATAAAAATATTGTGTAGTATGCTCTGGAAAACATTTAAGCTGATTACTTACCTTTATTATGTTTCATGATGTGCTTAGCAAATAAGGCATATCAATAGATCTGAACAAGTCTCAGACCCAATTGGTACAAGTAGAGAGTTTATTCTTAATGGCAGTATTCAGTTTTTGAAGTGGGTGGAGTCTGCATTTTCTTGTGGACTATTGAGATGAACAATGGTGCTAAAATTCATTTATTTTAGTTATACTGTAAAGAAGTCTTGATACGTTCCAATCATTATTTAACAATATTACACTGAGAGTTGGTGTGTGTGTGAATATATATATATACATATGGATTCATTGTCTAAAACCTTTAGTAGTTACTATATTTTTCTTAATTTAGGTACCAAACAAGGAAGAGGATAGTGGAAAAAGCATGGCACTGAATAGCTGTACATATGGATTCATTGTCTAAAACCTTTAGTAGTTACTATATTTTTCTTAATTTAGGTACCAAACAAGGAAGAGGATAGTGGAAAAAGCAGGTTTACATTAATATTCAAATATTTATTTACAAAGATTTTGCAATAAACGCTCAATGCATAGAAATTGATATACAGTCAGTAGTTACTGTGGAGTAAATTATGGTTCTGTTATGTTCCATAAGGACAGCATTTGATCTTTAGGGAGAAAGTATTCTCAGGCCCCCTTTTGGATGAGCTTTTGCCTTTCTGTTTTTCCATGTTTCTCTGACTCCAATTCAGCAAGGCACTCAGGGTATGTCTATACCACATGGCTTCCCCACATCTACATAAGCCAAAAGTTATTTCAAAATATTTTTTCGAAATAACGGGTGTGCTATTTCGCCATCTTTGTAAGCCTCATTGCACAAGGGAGAAGGGATGTGCCGAAATACAATGTTATTTCGAAATTTGGCGCTGTGTAGATGCGCCAAGTTTCACAATAAGTTATTTCGAAATAGATTCAAAATAAAATACGCAATTAGCCTAGCTCAAACTGTGTATCTTATTTTGAAGTTAGGATGCTGTGTGGACACACCTTCATGAAGAAACTTAACTGTAAGCATTAAATAGCCCATTGAAGTCAGTGTTAAGAGTTACCTTGCTGCGTTTTTATATATTACTTCAATCTTTCTATTATTTATTGACTTTTTGTTAGTGAAACAATTTGGAATTTTTCTTTTACTAAATATAAATTTGTTGGTTTTTTTTTTTTTTGTTTTTTTTTTTTTGCTTGCTTTACTAGTCCACTTCCTCAATACCATGGAATACTGTGATCACTATTTATACAAGTAAAAGAATATCGATCGGCCAGTATTCCAAAATACTAACATTATTAAGAGCACAGAAATTACAGAACAGAAAGCAAACTTTTGATAAAAATGATTCATTCAACAATAATATACTTTCTTTGTGTCCACAAGCAAAAAGAAATATTGAGCAATAAAAATGGCAAGCTCTAAAACACATGAAATGGGTTTAGACATAGAATCTTGCTTTTTTTTTTAGCATCCTTATTTCTTTGGCACAGAATTTAATACAATTTTTATCTCTGTTTGCTTTATTGCAAGCTCTGCAAACAATCATAAAATATGCCCTCACAGACAAAAGTGTGCCAAACCTAGTATATAGGTTTAATGGCTTTACAAGTCCTTTGTATTCCCCAGAGACAGCAGTAGCCCTCTGGGAGCCCCAAGAAGAAATATTTTAGGACTCCCTCTGCACAACACATACTAATAATTAATAGGGGGACCTTGAGCCATTCACGGCATTAAGCAGATGCTTAGTTTATTTATGCCTAT